AAAGGATAAATGAGTGTGACAAACACACACACACCACTGCAGTGTGATCTGAGCCGTATTCCCAGAGCTAAGTGACATGTTAAGATCTAATCCAAAGCTCTGCCCTTTCCCACCTGGATTTAGGAGGGAAAATGGTCCCCAGCTGATGTTACAAAAGCATGGGAAGGAGTGCCAGATAAACAGTTTGTGGGGGCAGAGAGAGATATATAGGTCAGATAGTAGGGCTTATGGGGTGCCATGGGGCCTTGAGTCACCTTCCATAGCTTTCCTTACTTCCTTCACTGATCCTGAGCCATGCATAAGGAAGTTTCAGCTCAGATGCAACATCTGCCTGTTCTCTCTTTATGCGCCTCAGGCAGGAGGGGGAAGAGGAAGTCAAGAAATTGAGCCCTCCAGTCCTATTGACATTGTCCGGGAGTAAACCCCATTGAACTTAGTGGGACCTGTTGTCTCAACAGTCATTCAATTCATGTGTTTTATTTAGTATTTCATTTCAATGCAAAAGGCCCTAAATAGTTCAGGAAAAAAAAATCCCTTCCAGTACACGGGAGTGGTACATACAGGATACACACTTGTTCATGCAATCTCCAAACATGCCGTGCTAATGGTACTAAGATCAGCGCCTGCTATCCTTGGGGAACATCCAGAACAAAGGGGGTCAACAGCCTAGCAGCGCCCACCCCATTACCTGTCCCCACCCTTGTTATGTTATGTTATGTTACATTATGTCACGGTATGTGATTTTTCAAGTGCAACACTCCTGGAATTAGACACCACTCGAAATTCCCATTCTTTTCCCGGAGCGATTGGCTTGTCTCAGCAAACAGTTGTGGGGAAACAAGAACAGCTGAACACCTTTTGTTGTCTAGTGGGAGGAACAGATGGTATCCTCCTGCTCCACTCAAAGGAGCTGACTGGCCCCATGGCAGGATCTTGGCTCAACAAGACCAAGGGGGCGGCCTCTCTTGCATTCAAGAAGCGCAGGCCCATGGCACACAAAACTCTGTCCCAGGGAGGAGCAGGTCACTGGCTTTGGATACGAGGTGCTACTGAATGGTATACCTCCACCGATCCCAAGTAGTGTAGTGTTGGGTTTGGTTTTAGCTACAGCTGGGATTTTCTCCATGAGGGCTTGAAACTTGCTTTTTTTAAAGTAAAGGAACCATTTAGTCTCCTTTTCTGTTAAGAAGAACCAACGTTTCCTGCAGGAGGTTTTCAGGCCAATATCCCATTCCGAGAGGATGCAGACACTAAAGGAATCAATTGCTGGGCCAACCTTGTGGATTTCTGAAAAACATTTTAGAAGCAGATCATGGCATGCAAGCACACTGAATGCTGAGCACTGGGAACTTTTCAAGAGTTACCAAAGCAAAAACTGTACGGCTTAAAAAGTCTTTGCCACCTTTCTAAGGCTCAAGACAGCTTGCAAGAAATAAACATTAAAGTAACTTTAAACAAACGATAACATCCAAAAGAAATAATTCTGGGAAGAAGAAGAAGAAAAAAAACCCTTCTCAGCCTAGCTAGAAGGACCAACGGGTCAGATGGAAAAAAATGAGCCTTGAAGGCTCTCCTAAAAACCCTGCCAGGGAGAAGGGAAGAAGAATTAACATCAGAGAGACTTGCCATTTCAAAGCCTTGGGAGCAATTGATGTGCTTCTTTACCCGAGATAGATCCAACTCTGAACTCCATATTGAGGGGATGCTTTTCTAGCCAACTAATAGATACACACCCCAAAATGCACAAGCTTTCAGGAACATATTATCTCTATCAGGTGAAATTTTAAAAGCCAGCAGCGTGGTGGGAAGATGAGGAGGGGGAACTAGAAGAGGAGCGGGTGATGAGCTTCAATCCTTCCTGACAGTGTGCTGTTCCAAGATATGATGGAGAAACAATGTAGGAGACCATAAAATGGTATAATCAGGTGACACAGTCTTGCTAGATCCCCACCACCATCAAGGATGGCCCATAGACTCACTGTGGACTGGAAAGTTAGAAATCCTGGTTCATCCATTTTTGGGTGGGTTTTTTTTAAGGTAAGTCTTCGACAGCAACCAAAAATGTGTCTATCTAGTTTGAACACTCATGCTGTCTGCGTGGAAAACAGAGTCAACAGGAAGTTTCATAAGCAGGACATAAAGCGGTGATTCCCAACCTTGGGTCCCCAAATGTTCTTTTACTCCCAGAAGCCTTCACTACTAGCTGTGCTGGCTGGAGTTTCTGGGAGTTGTAGTCCAAGAACACCTGGGGACTCAAGGGTTGGGAAGCATGAACGTAAAGTTTTAAAGTTTCTAGTCCTCAGTGAGTATGTGCCAATAAGATGACATAGAACAAGCAACATGGCATCACTTGAGGAAACCCATTCCTTTGTCTGCCAGATTGCTCTTCCATCACACCTCGGAGCAGCATGTAGACAAGAATGAGTGAAGTATAGTCTTCTTGCCCCCGAGCTCCCAGCTAGTGGTGAGGGATCATGGGAGCTGTAGTCCAACAAGATCTGGAGGGTATCACATGTCTCATCTCTGTCTTGCAACCACCCAGCTCTCTTATTCTAGGACCTTTCTTTATCCTTCTAAATGGCATATTCTAAATCCGTCTTTTATTTCTCTTGGCACAGTAATACCGTGGTATTCGCAGGGGATCGGTCCCAAGCCCTCCGCGGATGCTGAAAGACGTGGAAATAGTGAACACTGTACACAGCATTGTCTCTTACTCCCTCTAGTGGCCAATTTTGGTAAATACCCTTTTATTTTATTTTCTGGCAGTGGATAAGTGAATCCACAGATGCTGATCCATAATTTTGGTAAATACCCTTTTAATTTTTTTATTTTCTGGCAATGGATAAGTGAATCCACAGATGCTGATCCAGGAGATTTTTTTGGGGGGGGTGTTTTCCTCCTGTATTTGAATTAGCTTCACCATACATACGTCAGGAAAAGTTTGAGCTGGGCAGACAGGTGGGTGGCCTGCGAGGTCCTGATTTGGGAACAAGGAACCGTTGGCGTTCTTTTTAATGGCGACGGTGATTATTAGTAGTTTATGTGTGGTTCAGGAAAGGAAGCCAAACAGCCATTGCCCGCCCTTGCCTTGCACAACGCTGGGAAAGCCGTGCTTCTGCTGAGCAGGGACGCAGGGTAGGGCTGGGGTGTGTTTGCTAGGCATGGGAATCGCGCACAAGGAGCCTGGGACTTTTGAGGACACCTTCACTTGCGACACACGTTCCTCCTGGGAGCAGACTTAACACTGCATTTGAATGAAGAGGCTGCCATCATCCCATTAGCTAGTGTCAGGAAGGGAGAAGGGTGCAAAGGCAACGGAGGCTGCAGCAGGGTGACATTGGAGATGATCCAAGGGTTGTTATGTCAGGGATGAGCAGTGCCAGACTGCCCTCCAGGTGCTTTCAGACTGCCAGGAGCTCTAGGCAGTATTGCTGATGTTAGCAAGGGACAGTGGTGCATAGCGGAGTCAAGGCTCACAGGGCTGGCACCCCAGGACTTTCTGAGGAGCATGGCCCATAATATGAACGATTCCTCCCCCTGGTTCCTTCAATATTTAGGTCTGGTTCTCCTGCCGGCAGGGAGAGAAATGGCTTTTTTCTAGGACCAGTATTTTGTTACTTGTCACCCTTGTTCTGATGCTTTATATCCAAGGGTAATTTGACGGTGAGTGGGCAATCAAGAGCCATTCACTTTACAAAATGCCTCATTCTCAATTGTTGTGATGTAGTGTTCCAGCAGCTTGCATTTCCTGATGTCCCTGTTGTGGGGAGGGGGTAGGCTGACTATGGAGACTGTCATAATGAGTATGTGCATTTTCCAGTTTACCACTGCACTGCCAACAAGGGATCATGGAAACTGTAGCCCAAAAAACAGCTGGAGGGCCACTATTGCCCACTCCTTTTCTTCTGTCAAAGAGAAGCAGCTGTGCCTAGGAATTGTCTATAACTGGAATGCTGCATCTATGTGTGGAATGCTCCTTTGTGTAAGGAGAATGAGGATCTGTAGATTGTATCGAACCTGCCAAGGAATGGAAGGAGGACCAGACACTCCATGTTGCTGCACATTGTCTCTTCTGAAGTGGCTACAGACGTTTCAAATAACATGATGCAGACGGCAATCCTTCTACTTGCTTTGCAAAGTGTGGCACCTGTCTGTGTGCATGTTGCCTTCCAAAGCAAAAAGTGATGCCCACCGCCTCCGTTATTTTTACCAAGGCTTCTCTCTCCTCCAAATTACAGTGTTGATGAAGGCAGTACAAACCTGTGAAAATCTAACATAGCATTCATGATTAAGTGCATTGCTGCCTAGGACTAACGGAAGTCACCGTCCAAAGGCACCTGGAGGGTCTCAGATGCCCCCAGCCTTGGCAAACCTATGTGCTTTTAAAGCTGTTGCTCTAAGCAGGCACAGCATGTCTGTAATGAAAAAAAAAGGAAAGCAAAGGATGTTGAGTTTATGAGTTGGTCTCTTATGCTCACGCCGTTGGCACCCCCTCCTCCAGCCACGTCTGTTGCTGTCACCTTTTCCCGTGCTGCTTAAGCAGGTTCATGTCCCAACTACAGGGAGATGGGAGGGGAGAGAGAGAAGGGAGAGAAAAAAACACCACCTTTTTCTCTCCCCCTGAAAATAGGAAAATGTGATTGTAAAACCACAGACGTTGGCCAAAAATAGCAAAATAGAAGCAGGATCTGAAAAACACTCACGTCTTTCAACCTGTCTTGGGGAGCGAGAATGCGAGAAGCCACAGCGGTGGACTCCCCTCTCAGCTGGATGGGGGGAGGAAGGAACAGGCAGCTGACAGCAAACCATCTGGCGAGGGAATGGGTGGGTCGTTCAGTGGTATCAACCAGTATATGACTTGAATCACCCAAGGAGAACTAATTTATTGAACCATGAATAGGACAGCACAATAACCTCCTTCCAAGGGCCGTTGAATGCACTTGATGTCACAAGCGAATCCAGAACACAATGACAGAACTTTCACCTCCTGAAATTCTAAAATTATCCACAAGTGAGCAACAAAAGCAAAACGGTTAAGCCATGGAACACAACCACGGAGACACAGATGAGGTGCCAGGTAAAGTAAACACATATTAGCTATTTCTAAGTAGGAGTAAACACATACTGTCGGCACTCTTCCCCTCTTTCAAATTCAACCACTGCCCACAGTATCTTTCAAAGCTTTTTAAAATGACAGAACCTGATGAAATATAGAGGCTGACGGAAATGCCAGTCTCCAAGGCTTGGCACTGGCTACTAGCGAAGTTGCCGCAGTGTCACAGAAGCAGGATGGGGGTGGGGTGGGGAAGCTACCCAAGGCTCCTGTTTTTGGCAGAACCATAGGCTGAGCTGCTCTGATGTCAGGGGCCAGGGTCTACATACACTTCTCCCTTCAACAACGATGGGGTTAGGGGCACCAGACGCCTGTGTGGTTCAAAATTTGTGTATAATTCTCATGTCCCCCCCTTCAAAGGTAGCTAAAAAGCATAAACAGTTGATTAACACACACACACACACACACACACACACACACACCTCCCCTGAGCTACATCAGCGTCCTGGCATGCCCCAGCATCCTCGCCAGCTGCCACATGGAGCCATCATGACAGGAGAGTTGTTGGCAGTGCCATTTGACCAGGGCACTGCCAACAACAGGGTCTTCAGCAAGCCTGAGACCCAGCTTTCTCAGGCCACTTCCTGGAGATGAATAGTAGCACTGCATTGATGGATCACTTATTTATTGAAAGATGTATTTATTTATTGAACAAAAATCTGTGCATAACCAAAACTGTGCTGCTCAGGCTCATGCAATTCGAGAGAGAAGTATACGAACACTCCCCGACCAAGTACTGATAAATGCCTGGGTCCTGGTAAAAGATCCCTTTTTGCTAAGACATGAAACTCATAAGAGAGTGACTTTGGGCTAGTATGTAACCCTAACCCTAATCCATCCCACCAAGTTGTTCTGAAGATCAAATGGGTTTGGTGGTTACCGCCTTTTGCAATACGATGCGTTCGAAGGGGACTGGTCCCAGGCATCCCTTTTACCAGAGCATGGAGAGTTATTTTCAACGTGCAGTTGGTTTATAATTTTTGTAAAGTAATTCATTACCTCCCGGTACTTGTTACAACACTAAGAAAGTAACTGATAAGGTTACTTATTGTGCCACTTTTTATTCTGTTGTATCTTTATGCTACTTTGGAGAGTGGAAGTGCCTCTGGCTTGATACGAAAATGGCATACAACTTAAAAACTGTTAAAATGGTGCTACTGATGCCCTAAAATGCCCTTTAAAAGAAAACTCTGAGTATAACTAGAAGTTGTTGCGTGTTCTACCAGTCACACAGCTGTCTTTAGCTCAGCAGCAGAATTGGCATTTTACATTCCGCTCGTTATCTGCATGCTGCCCCCACCAACAGGCTTCATGGGACTTCTCTTCTTGAAGTGAAACAAGTAGAGGAATGTTACAAGAAATCAAGGAAATTTTCCATAATCTGGAACCTTCCAACCAACACGTTAGTGCCTTAGGCCTGACTCTACTGTAGTTGTTAATGCCAATCAAAGTAGGCTCATTTGATCAAAGGGATTTGATTAAGTCTTGACTCACCTCTTTGCAGTTGATTACATCTGTTTTCTCTGGAAATCGGATTAGGATATTTATTTTTTTAGTACCTTTAACATAATTAAGCACTGGATAGCAGGCTGGATAGCTCAGTGTGCCAGGTATCGGAGTGCTGGGTCCAAGGTTGGGAGTTCGGTTTGCCACTGTGCATGCCAGAAGAGCCAGCCTGGGTGGCCTTGGGCAAGCTGCACAGTCCCAGGGCACCCCCAGAAGAAGGGAATGATAAAACACGTTTGAGTTATTTCTACCTAGAAAACTCTGAAAAGGGTCAACATAAGTGAAAATGGACTGGATGGAACATCATCATCATCATCATCATTAAATATTATGTATTGGGAGAGCATTTTTGGAAAATTCAGAGAAGCAGGTGAAATTGTGGAGATAACTTTCCAATTAAGAGCTGCTTTTATGATGCGTGATATCTGCGGCAAGGAAGAGGAGATGACAAAGCCCCATATTACCCTACTATAAACAAGTGCTCTTTAGCAAAATATCCATGGGTTTTTCTGCAGTTGAAATCCTGGATTTACTTAATTGGCAGATGAATGAGCTAACACCTTAATTGCAGATTAAAGTTTGCCTGCCAATCGGTGAGTTGGAAGTTGAAGGGCTCACTGCTGTCACCTTGGCCCCTATCCAGCAGCAGATTATCCACTTGTCTTTATTGGCTCTCTAGCTTATGTGCCAAATATTTTAAAATAACCAACACAGAGCGTGAAAATACACATGCTGTAAAATAGAGATACTAAGAACATTGCAACCAAACCCTTTAAGCCCCTGTTTGCATTCTTGCAATATTTGCCAAACCTCTCAGTGTTTCACCCTTCCTCAGATTTTTCCTTGCCAGAACAAGGAGGGGGGGAGAAGGATGCTTGATTTAAAGGGGGCTGGGGGCTGATTCCAAGACCAAGTCTCCCAATAACATTTTGCTATAGTGGACAGGGGGCATTATGTTGCTGCAGCCCACATCTCTCTGACCCCCTCGGCTGCCTGCCACTTTCAGGGATGAGTAGGCAATGGCTAAGGGCAGTGGTGCTGCACCCAACATCTGCTTTGAATAAACATTGCCAGGATGCAAGGGGAAGAGATGCACCACAGTGGTGCCCAGGCTTTTACAGCAACAAATTCTCAATAGAGAAAATGGTTGTAAAGTTCAAGACAGTACAGCAAATTATTCCTATCCTAGATTGAGCAACCAAACAGAAGGAAGCACAAGTCACACTTTCCATGTAGATTAAAAGGTCCTGCCTATTGTATCGATAGAGCAGAAATTCAAAGGCACACCAAGAGCCAGGAACCACTCATGCACCAATACAGTGGTACCTCACTTGACGACGACCCCGCTGTACGACAAATCTGCAGGATGGTGACTTTTTGCGATCACTACAGCGATCTGCAAAACAATCATTCTTATGGGGGAATTCTGCTTGATTACGATTTGGTCCGTGCTTCGCGGACCGTTTATCCGCGAGACAACGATCTTCGTTGGGTTCCTAAAATGGCTGCCCTATGTTTTCCAGACCCATGCTTCGCAGGGCAGCCATTTTTACAGCTGATCGGCACTCAAAAAATGGCTTCCCCTATGGGTGATCTTTGCTGGACGACGAGGTAATTTCCCCATTGGAACACATTAAATGGGTTTCAATGCATTCCAATGGGGAATTGTTCTTCTCATGACGACGATTTCACTTAACGGCTATTTTCCCGGAACATATTATCGTCGTCATGTGAGGCACCACTGTACTTCACAAGTGCTGGATTTCTCCTCTATTTTGTCCAAGTGAGGTACTGATTTTCAAGATGAAGTGATATTGGTACATCTGTCATTCTAGCCAATAGGGGCCCCAGTCAAGAAGCACTGACATACAGTTCAGCTGAAATCAGTGTTTGAAAACCTTATAAATTTGGATCCACTAGATGGAGTGTTCAGGGGATTCAAACTTCTTCAGTTCAAAAAGCCTGACTTTTAAGAGTAAACAACATCAAACCAATAAAGTAAAATGATCAGTGAAGGGTTGTCCTGATAGGTGCAAAGAAATATGTTGTCTTGCTCTTCTCATATCCACACTGTCTCAGGAAAGCATTTTTTCCCCTGAATCCACACGTAAGATGTATTTTATGCTGGGATGTTTTGACACACCTCTCCATAAGCAGGGGAGACAACAGCAACATGATGCTCCCCCATCCTCCTTTTGAGGCCCCAGCTTATTTCCTGACCTTTTCACTTCTGCTTCCTCAGGGCCCCTTATATCTATTGTCTCCTCTTTCTCATGAAGCGTGCACTGTTTGAGTGGAGAGATCTAGCAACACACCGATTTGTAAAGCACATTGTAAAACAATGTCCATAATGAGTTTTGCTGAGTCATCTCTGGTGGCAAGAACTCAGGTGGGAAAGTCTCAGTGTTAGCATTAATCCACTAGCACAGAGGATCCTAGGGGATCACTTTTTGCAGGTCGGTACCCAAAGCTTTTGAAGAGTTGGTGTCAAAAACAGTTGATTTCTAAAGGGGTTTAGGGGTGGAGTAAGCTTCCCTGGTCAAGGGCTGAGACTGGAACCTGTCAACAGTAGTGTTAATCTATCTCCCCAGAAATAAGGCAAGACAAGAAGCAAGAGGGGCTAGACATGGTGTCATCATGAGCTGCTGTCAAAGGTATGTGTATCAAAGATGTAGAAGGCACAAATAGGTTTGACTACAATGCCAACACGCCATAACATGAGACTACAACAATAACAACAAAGGCATGCCAGTCTGAACAAAAAAAGCCGGCAAGGCAAACAAAAACATTGCCTGTAATGGGTAGAGGCAAATATATCATGTGGGCATCTGACCAAATACTAATGCTATCTGGTGGAGGACCCAGTCTTTGCTGTGGGACAAATGCCAGAGTGGGTGAGTGCTCACATAAACACGTGTAAGTGTTTGCTGCAAACCTAACTAGAGGCAATTTAAACAGGCAAGATTGTGAGGTCCTTAAAATACATAACCCAGTGAAAGGTTTGGTCCGAATTACAAACCAGCAACTCAACATTCCGAGAAAACTCCACACGATGCACAGTGTAGTTAGTGGTATATTTGGGACATGGGTGCCTATCATGAGAGAACACACCGTTCGCCTCCACAAGAAGTGTCTGAAAGTTTCAACAGCAACAACAGCAGCAGGAACAGCAATAGGAGCAGGTGTTGGTGAAGGGAACACCTCTTAAGTGCCTATTCCAGATCATCACACCCACAAACATTTTGTATTATACCAGAGATAAGTTACAAGAATGTTTCATTCCTGGGGAAATCTCATTCTTGGCCAGCTTCTATTAGGATTGCAGTTAGGCTCCAAAGGAACAGGAAAGCTTGAACAGGGTTGTGGATGATGTCATAATCACTGCTGCTGAAAATGCCCTTGGGGGTTGGCCCCATCACAATAGGGCCGGATGCCAATTCCCACACAGGTTGGGGTCAGGCTGCAGGAGCTACAGCAGGCATGGAGTCTGCAAGAGCCATTTCAGGGTGTGTTGCACCCACAACCAAAAGGTACCTGGCCTATCTAAAGATGCTTCCCACAATTTTGTTGGAGTATCAAATGGAGAATGTGGAAGACCGCCCTTCATACCCATGATGAGAAAGTAAAATACTGTACTAATTTAAATAGGAGATTATTCTGTGGTTAGGAGTGGCCCATTATGCCACATCTGTTCTTCCTTTAGCAGAGGGAAATTCCTGGCAAACCTTATAGCAGGGCAGGGGTGAGCAACTTGCGGTGCTCCAGATATTTTTGGGAGTTCAATTCCCATCGTCCCTCACCATGGGCTATGTTGAGCAGGACTGAAGTCAGGGAGCCTTTTGTGCTTCATTTAACACATGGTGGGAGTTGCAGCCCACAACATCTGGAGGGCCATAGCCATGACTTCACATGCTATAAATTCATGGACAGGGAAGACAGCGTTAGACATTATGATAATGTAGACATAAATTGTTGGTTCAATACACACACAGGCTGAACAAGTATTATGATGGTACAGAAGCAAGCACACTGGCATACAAAAACAACCAAAGGTGATGATGATGTGCTTTCAAGTCAAATTTGACTTATGGTGACCCTTTTCAGGGTTTTCCAGGTACAGGACACTCAGAAATGGTTTACCCTTCCCTTCTTCTGAGGTGTATTCTGGGACTGCACAGCTTGCCCAAGGCTACACAGGCTGGTTCTACTCTCAGGAGGCACCATGAGGAAGGCAACTCCCAACCTTTGGCTCCATAGCCAGATACCTAAGTCACTGAGCTGTTCAATCACTCACTAATTCCCAGTTTCAGCCATCAACAACTAGCCTGAGACTGCGTGTGGACAATTTTCACTCTTTGTAGAATAGCAGCCCTACTCTAATCGCAATATGCACTTGAGTTGATTAGCCATTCTAAAATGAATGCCGCACACACACACAAACACACACACACAAAGAGAGAGAGAGAGAGGCAAGCCTAACACCTAATATTCCTTAATAACACCTACTACTATTACTACTGACAACACAAGTAATTGCCAATTAGTTACTGATTGTTACTGATAGTTAACAAAAATTAGATATAATTGCCAGCTAATCACAGCTACAATAGCTCTATTAATGGTAATGGTTTTTTAATGGCAGCAAGAGTGCCAGCAGTAAGGTGTATTTTTAATGTAGCTGAATGTCTGATAATGTTAATGGTGGAATGAAATATTTGAAAGACACACAGTTTCACCACTTTCACCATCAGTCACCGTCATCGTGATCCTCACCAATGATGTTATTTATGCTAGCAAAAGCAGGACCAATAATAATAATAATAACAATAACAGCAACAGTTACTAGGAATAATGATAGTAGTGAAGCTCTGCCCCAGTGCCAAAGAGAGATACCAACAGAACTGGAAGGGCCCTCCGGACCTTGTTTTTCTGGAAGAGCACTGAGGTGGTAGTAGTAAGAAGAAGTCTAGCAGTAGTTGCAGTTGTGACAGCAACCTCAAAAAAATATGTTATATTGACAGCTATTTTACATGGGGTTTGAAATGTGTTGAGGCTATCTTTCCATATTTTTAGAGCAGACCACAGACAAGCCAACGCCTACACAAACTTATTCCAGTTATTTGCATTGTTCAACCATTTGTAGGATAGTGTGTTGCTGTGGTTTCTGAAACAGAATGCATCCTTTCCTCTCTGTAAGGGGAAGAAACTTGACTCACCCTCAACGATTGTGATGTGCAACCAACCCAGCCACATATTCATCTCTGGCCTGCTGTTGACCCTCCACCAAACGCTGCTCCCAAGAGCTCAGCAGGAAGACTCAGTGCCGAATTACGCCGGTTTGTAAATGTCAACTGGAAATTATTTCTTTTTAAACCACTAAGGGGGCATGCATCATGGGTTTTTTTTAAAAAAGAGCTGTGGTGTTGTTGCTTTTTTAACAGTAAAGCAAGTGATATAGTAGGTTTGAAATTGTTTCTCCTCCCCCCTCCCCCGACTTAGAGAACTAAAGCGTATTTAGAAGGGGGTCATACTCGTCCCACACAAAATGGAGCCTTGGACTTCATTCTCTTGTGTAGAATTTGGATTCTTATCAACCCTCGGAAATTTCTTTAGAAACTTACCAACGCTTGAGTCTTTGTGATGGTTGCCATTTAGTGGAGCTATGTGCTGTTGTTTTTAAAAAGCAAGAACAATTTTATTATTTTCAAAATTAATCTGTTCTCCAGACAGTGTAACGCTTATTTCAGGCACAAGAAGCGTGACAGGTAGCCTATGGACCGACACCTTTATCAGATGGAGAGGTTCTAGAATCGAATGGGTACCAACTAGCAGTAAGCCCTCCCTGGCACTTACGACACTTGAGAAAGGCCACAATGAATGGCTGTTGTTGCTATGTGCCTTCAGGTCAGAAATGACTTATAATGAACTTAATGGGGTTATCAAGGTAAAGGAGGTATTTATGGAGTAGTTGCACCATTTCCACAACCCAGGTGAGTTTCCGTGACTTGCGTTCTGTAAGGAAGAAGATGAAGGGCTGCTACCCCACTTAGCATGCCTTCCTCTCTTCCTTCAGAGCCAACTGAGATACAGACATCTAGTTCCCCAACAGACATGGGGAGAAAGAGGAAGAAAAAGTGGGAGAAGGGGAGGGATGTTGGCGAGTTTTGAGGTCTGAGTTCAAATCTATGGTACCAAGGCTCAAGGCTCAAGCCCTGCCATTTCCCTATTAAAAATAAGTGGTTTTTTTCCCATAGAAAAAAGGGGAGAGGTGAGTGAGTATCAAGTCGCGAGTTGGAGTCACTGGAAAAAATAAATAAATCTGAATCAAGTCACTGATGCGACTTAAGTCTGACTTGACAGCAAGTCCCGTGACTTGAGTCCCCATCCTTGGAGAAGGGGAGATTTGGCAGAATGCGACAGAGTCTCAGGGAGACGATGATGGTCTGGGAGAAGGGAGAGCAACCAGTCTTGTCCGGGGAGTGGGAACTGGTGAGCAAAGAAGCCCCTTCGGGTGCGAGAACTGGTCCAGTTTAAACTTCCTAAAGAAGAAGCTTGGAAAAGACTTTGATGTTGGGAAAGTGTGAAGGCAAGAGGAAAGGGGGACGACAGAGGACGAGATGGTTGGACAGTGTCATCGAAGCAACCAACATGAATTTGACACAACTCCAGGAGGCGGTGGAAGATAGGAGGGCCTGGTGTGCTCTGGTCCATGGGGTCACGAAGAGTTGGACACGACTAAACGACTGAACAAACAAACAAAGAAGAAGCTGAAAGGCAAAGGAGAAGTCGGCCACCCCCACAAACCTTCATACTGAGGGGGGGGGTTGAGAGAGGTGAGAACGATGTAGGAGAGCCCAGGCACAAACCCCCAAAAGAGTTCCCTGCATCCGTAGGAAGACTCCGGTGCTACCCTTGGGAGGAAAGAGTTTCAAACCCTCCTGGTTGAGGAGGAAAAGGGAGACAGGAAGAGAGGGGCATCGGTGAGCCAGGGTGGGGAGTCCACCTCTGTTGTAACACCCCATGTCGGGCCGGACTCCTCATCCTGGTGAGTTGGGGAGGAGAGCTGGAGAGTCAGACAAGGAATAGAAAAAAGAGAACGGACGGTAAAAGGTGAGGGGACGATTAATCTCACAGAAGAAAACGTTATGGATGAACCATTGCAAGTTATTGTTGAAAAGTTGCCTTCCAAGTTAATTTAAATACTGTTGATGTGAAAAGTTCTGTATCTTCGTACTTGAGTCCTAGAAGGGAGAAGGGAGAAGACCCCGTTGCTTCCGATGGAATAGGAAAAACTCAGAAGTGGGGATTCAAACCATCACAACCTCCTGTGATAATGAGTTCCAAAGACATCCCCATTCATTCGTTTGCCAAGTTAGACTAGACTGAGGGATTCTGTGTGTTTGCGTGCGCGTGTACATGTCTGCATGTGTGCACGGCAAACAAACAAGCCAGCTTTTCCAAATACAGAAATCTTTAAAGAGGGGTGAAAAATCACCTGAGGGGAGGCACCCACCAAAAAGTGACCAATGAGGATTGAGTGGGAGGTGGGGACAGAAAAGCATATGAGAAGAATGACAGGATGTAATGGACTGCTGTAGAAGAGAACAATGAAAAGATACAGCTTACACTGCAACATTTTGCTGCAGGTCCTATTGTGATTGTTTGGTTTGGTTTTGTTATGTTTTGCATGGAGGGCTGGTAGCTGCTCCTAAAGCTGGCAGACCCGCTAAGGTGGGGCTGAAAGAAAGATTTTGCCACTTTTGAATGCATCTAGCAAAACAAGAGGCTCTGCAGGCAAAGCTGGCTGAGGAAAGGATGCCTGGCTCTGTTTTCAGGGTCCGTCTCCTAAAATTTCCTATTTCTAGGGGGGAGGGGGGCAGGTTTATCAGAGAGCAAGGGTGAATTGAAACTATGAGCTGTTTCACACATCTCTGGATTACTCAACACCTTATGACTGACAGCCAAAAGCATAAACAGAGACCCCAGCAAAGTGGTCTGTCCGAGGTGACACTGGGTGAGAGGAACGCTCTCTCTGTGGCTTTCCGTCTGCAACGGTTCCTTCGTACTTGAAAGTCGTCACCTTGCCTCACAGCTATCAAACGATGAACAGACATATTCAGACCAACCTTTAAAACAACCATGTGCCAAGGGAAGGAGAACCTTACTCTCTCACACCAGGAGCCGTGTGTGTGTGTGTGTGTGTCTGTGTGTGTGTGTGTGCGCGTGCGTGCGTGCGTGCGTGTGTGTAAAATATTAATAGGGCAATACAGCATATGTCTACTCTAAAGCAAATACCACTGATTCAACGTGACTTACTTTCACATAAGTGTGTTTATAGGATTGCAGCCTAAGGCCGACAGGACAAGAAAAATATAAGAAAACCCAGGAATACAGCAGACCATTTTCTCCCTACATTGAAATACCTGTAACAGGGTTTGGGTGTCCCTCCCTGCCAATTTCTTCCCCTCTATTTTTTAAACATTCAATTAGCATATAGAACTTACTGCAACAAGGTGTCCCTGCCACAGGCGGCTGCCACCTTAGACTGCAATACTATAGATAGTAGAACTCAGAAAGGCTATTTTTTGGATTACACCTTTCAGGATTCCCCAGTTAGCCTGCCCCCCCTGATGTAAGAGAAAGTCGTTTGAACTCCAGTGGAGCTTACTTCTCAGTAGTTGTATACAGGATTGCACCAGCGGCTATCTTTTTTTTTAAAAAAATGGTATTTAACACATTCAATGATCATACGGCATCTCAGCATTTAAGGGTAATATACCTTTAATCTAGATGCAAAGGAAACCTAATACCTTCAGGCTGTACTTCTAAGCACTTAACAGGCCAAACCTGTCTATCTCTCTGTATCTCTACCTCTTTATCTGAATCTGGATGGACTTTTGATATAAGCAAATTTAAAAATTTTTATTTTTAAAAGAAAAACAGATTTTTTTTTGTTTGCCTTATATCAGCTCTGCTGTTTAAAATGAGTCCAATAGGTACACAGGTTCAAGAACTGCATTAAAAAAAACAGCTCATAACGTACCTGGACTTTGGAAGAAGCACTTGACCCAGTAAAAATATATCATTTCATCCATCTGCATGTTTCTTTCAGTGGAGCCAAGATGGCTACTAATACTTTAGTTTCCTCCAAAGGTTTCTTTCCAAGAACTGAACTGACAGCAGTAGTACCAGCTCCTTCTAAACAATTGTTTCCCACCAGAGTTTGTTTCTGCCTTATATAAATCAATCTGGTCTTTGCACATAACATTTCACTGAGATAACATTCCCACCCCCCACCCCAAAAAAAAAAATATATCCAGAAAGGAATTTAAAAGACTATGCAGCCTTTGCACAATCTCTGCAGGGAAACGAAGACCAACGAGGTGCAATGTGAAAAGCTAACAAAGACAGGGATTACTCCGTAAGCCTCTGATTCTGTTCCAAGGAGAAATAAAATCCCACATCCTGGAAACTGGAGTTCTGCCAGGTGAAAATGGATCATGTCATCATAGGATAGCCATTGTGGTGTAGTAATTAGAGTGCTGAATTGGGGTTTGGGATCTCTCTGTTTCTCAACCTGTTCAACCTCACAAACTAGTTGGGAACATAAAGGAGGACACGGCTGAAGACGAGAACTCTGTAGACTACCTTGAGCTCATTAAAGGAAAGTCAGGACGTGAACATGTCCATGAAATAAAACAAGCATCTTTTCTATAGCTCTTGGTTGTGTGTAAAATGGTTAGGGTCTAGAGATGACCACAAACTGCTGGTTTGGTGTGGTTCATTTCCCAGCCGGACAGCTGATCGGCAGTTCGGGGGCGTGCCCGTTCCAGCAGGAACCTGCTCAGAAGAAGCACCTGGAAAAGGCAGGGAGGGACACTGCTGCTGAATGGCTGCCCACTAGAGGGCCCCCCTCCGCTGAATTGTAGATCAGCTGTTCAGTCAGGAAACGAAACGAACCGCTATGAACCGCCGAACCAGCAGTTCATACTCCCTAGTAGGGAGCACTGCTTAACAGAAGCAAACAGGTTTTCCATATATGAAGTCTCAGCTACAACTGCTACCTTCTTTAGTCCAAACCATCAGCTAGCAGGGTGGGTGGTGGGGAAAGAGTTTCACTTAAGACTCTGAAGAACTGGCTCTTCCACTTAGAGGGCATCTGGGTAGGCAGATGTCAGGGTTGCTTGAATCTGCACACACACATACACGCACACATCTGCATGCACACGCACACATGTGCACACACACATCTGCGCACGCACACACACACATTGAGAACTCCAGGATACTGCCAACCAGGACCAGATGCAAAAAGTTACTTTTCTGAACAGCTTAGTCCTCTGGGAAAAAGTTACATTTGGGAGGGCAAAACCCAGAAGGAAATTCA